CTTTTACTATTATGCTACTTTACTTAGTACCCTGTAATCATTACTATTGCCCCAGGGTGTTGTGTCTGTGCACCATATGGTTTGTGTCTGTGTGCATAAGATTTACAAGCAGCCATCAATCATGCAGTCTAAGCTAACTTGCAATGTGGTATTATAATAATCCTTATAGCTGTTTATGCATCTTGTAATAGTATACTGAATAATACGCAATCTTGACATGTACGTGTGTTGTTAATAAGTACTTAAGGGTGGAAATATTGAATGTTGTTTTACCAGCACAATATCTCATTTTGATATCACAATAATTACTAATAATTGTGTTCATCAAAGCTGTTACAATAACAATGATCCTTTGTAATGGTTCCTAGCCTAGAAAATCCAACACAGTACATGTAACTTAGTCTGGATTAGTAGTGGTACCTTTTACATCACACTTGTGCTAAGGGTTACGATATTTGATTACATGTACCACTCACATGTATAGTAAGAAATGATTATATTCTGTTAGCTACAATATTATCATGATAGTTACTAAATACCTTAGAGTGACTTTTAATTGCGGGTACTAAATTTTGCGATTTTAGCCCAAGGTAGATTTTGCTGGTATTAAAAATTGCGATTAAGTAATTATTACTAATAGTTATATGGCATCATGATGTCATTATTAATAATTGTGCGTATTAATAATTGCGATTTTTAACCCAAACGCAAAATTCGCAATTAACAGTACCCGCATTTAAAAGTAACCTTAAGGTACTGATATATTGCCCATCCTTATTGGTACTGCATTTCTCTATTCTCATTGTTGTGTTCCTTGACCCCTATTCTTGTATATCTTAATTTGTCTCGTATTGACATTTCTTCCTCCTCTTTTGCCTTCTCTCCTCCTAGTATATGTACATGTACATCTAACTTTTGCTCTTTCTCTTTTCTTCCTATATAGGATTCTCCTATCTCTTATGTTTTTTGTCTTCTTGTGTATAATACAGTTCCTTACTGATACTATAAGCTTGTGTTAACACATGTACGTCAATGTCATGTTTTTTATATTATTTATTATTATGGTACATTTTTGAATCACAGACGCATTGCGTGTCAAGAATCAAGATTCCATTTCCGGCAAAAGATGTGGGAGCAGAACTATCCTAACAACATGATGGTAAGACACAATTCACAATACAGTGCATGTTTTATTCAGTGCATGTACACATGTACAGTAAATGAGAGATAGTGAGTGTCCTTTGGTCAGTAATAATTGATGTATCATTTATTGTACAGGAGAATGGAATTAAGACAAAATGCTAAGAATATTCAGAGCATGTCCAATTTGAACAAGTACAATGTTTAAACATCAAAATTACTTAAAATTACCATCTCTTTTATCTCTCTTTTAGTGCCGTTAACTACTCATAATCAATAAACAGTTTGTTCCATGGACATTAACTTATTACTTAGAGAAAAGGATGTGTTGAGA